CAGACGAACAGAATGCATTGTAAAATATGTTCTATTTACACTATAATGAAATACAACACACTGCAATAATTTATTAGCTCTAATTCAGTGTAAAGACTATTTCAGCAGCCTTAAGTAACCACCCAGACAAACCACACGGTCATAAATCCACACGCTTTGTTCCAGGAAGTGCAGATGTTTTATATATTTCAGAATTGTAACCGTCCATCGAACCATGTCAAGCTGATTTGTAGTGCCTCCCCATCTTCTGAGCCTCACCTGTTCCTCCTTCACCTTTCACGTTTTCGGTCATTCCTTCCCTCCTTTTTCTCTCCCAGTAGCTGGAAACACATCGTTAGCCACGGCAGTAGCATGTACAGGACAGAGCTGCAGGTTGGTGTCCATCTTACTAATACCGAATGGTGGTTTTTACTCGACAGTAACAGCCTTTGGGGAAACCAATGATAATATTCACTTACCAAAGTTTAACATGTTTCTTGATATAGTCATTTTCAAACAGTTAGAGCCATTTTGAAATTGTACAAACGCTGATGTTGCAGTTCATCTCAGTTCCTCTGCAGTTCATCTGTTTCTCTGAATGTCAGCACCCCATCTTTTTGTCAACAAATCAGAGATTCAAGAAGTGTCATAATTTTAAAGAATTGCTCTTTTAAATCATTTCTGATAGATGCTCTTTGGCCCAGCCGGTGAGAATCAGTGCCCTTAGCTTTTTGCTACAGTACGTCCACTCAAGTGTCCTATGATTTCCAATTGGCTTTTTTTTTTTCTTCCAGTCACAGGTGACTTCTTTTTTCAACGTGTCAAAAGTGTTTAAATACTTCAGAATTTGTAGATACTGGTATTGTACTTTTTAATGCTTTTGGATTTTATTTGTTGCCAACTAATGTGAGAAATGCTGAGCGGGAAAAAAGCTGCTAGGATTGGTTTGAATTCATGTGCTGTCAAAAAGGAAAAGGGCAACTCACTAGAAGGCCTTTTTGTGGTTCAAAATAAGTCGAACTGAAATGATTTTTAAAAATAAGCTCCTCCGTCTGGTTTATGAAAATTTGCTTGCAATGCGGCTTCATATCGGTGTACATAGAGAAGACGCGTTGTTTTTATTTCTACGACGAGAGGAGCACACGGAAACTGTGGAATTGCAGACAGTAAAATTAACCTCCTTCTCAGTGACATTGCTGCTTTTGTAGTTACTTAACGGGGAATAACCATTTTTCTGAATCTCTCTTCAGCGTATAGTCTGTGTTCTAGAGTAAGATGACTTAAAGGCAGTGTATTAGGACTTAGATACTCCTACCATAGTGAATTTAGGTACCAGAATACATGTTTCATTTCCTTCTCTCTATCCTGTACTGTACAACGTCTTTCAATGCCTCAAAGTGCCCATTTTAACGATAGCAGGGCATTGATTAAAAGAGGAAAAAAAAAAGGTGTAGTTGTCTAAAAAAAAAAAACAAGATTTCTCTTATTTTGCACATCGGATTGTGGTGTTTTTTTTCACACAGAAGTAGTAAAGAAGCAGTGAAAGGCTGCATCAAATGAGCGATATCACTTAGCTTGATATCAAGTGACTGCCTTGACTTCTCTGGAACTATTCTGTCTGTACAAACAAAGCCTCTAATTGTGTTTTTATTTTATTTTTTCTCCCGTGTTTTATCAGAAAAGAAAAAAAAAAAGAAAAAGAAATTAGGGGACTGTGAATGCTAGGTACATGTTTATTTTTTAAATTCTACATGTGTCATCTGATCAGTGTTCTTTGTATTTTTTTTCCTTGTTATTTTTGTAAAGAAAACCACCATTTTATTTATTTTTGTTTTTTTTGTTTTAATATTATGTGGATGTTTCATGCATTTTATATTTGTTCAACTATCTGCATTGGTTCTTACTGTTAATAAAACAGAGCCATTCACTTCTCTCTATTTTCATTTGATTGTGCACTAAAAAAAAAACACCGGTATAACAAAATACATCAACAAGAATCTACAGAATTTGCAAAGAAAATATCCAGCGTGAGGTTCTTCTTTAACACAAAACTGTATTCTCGTGTTGTAATTTTCATAGGATAGTTTTTTTTTTTAAACTAAAACACACAGGTAGATGAGGAGCCAGGAGTTATTCCTCCAAAACTGGATTTAAAAAGTGCTTTTTAAATCAAAGAGCTCTGTGGCTTCCGTCTCTATTCAGAGCTGAATTTCTGTCATTCTCCCTGAATAGAAGTGAACCTTTCTACTCTTGAGGCCATCGATCATGTCTCAACTGAAAATGCAAATGACTCAGCTACTCTTTTGTGATGCTTGAACTCTTGCTGAACATTTGCATGCTCAACAATCTTTTTGCAGAGAGAAGTGCCGACCCTTGACTTCACAAATGAGGTTATGGTTTCATTTGTGAGCATATTCAAACTACAGCATCAACTAAAGTCTGTGCTTTAAGTGATGACAGATCTAATGTTGTTTTACAGTAAGTGCCTGTATTATATCTAGACCAGCGCAGGATCGAGACATCCCAACGGCAGCAAGTCTCGTACGGCGGACAGACCCGTGAATTCAGATTCAGCGACAGAAATTCGATTCCTCCTCGCAGCAGGACCAGTGGGCCAGTTCCGTCTTTCAATTGTATGCTTTCGAAAGGCACCGAGAAGAAAAGAGCAGCAGAGCCTGAAATCCAAGTCCTGACGACAACCTGCTGCCTTTCTGTTTAAAAGAGAAAACGCATTCACCGGCCCGGTCTAAGGAATAAAGACAAACAAGAGTCTCCGTTGTTGTGAAGTGCATTTTATTACCACTGATGGATCTCCAGGGTTTTGTTCAACTTGTTTCCCAGGATGAACTCATTTAGTCCAAATTTAACAGTACTGTATTTCAGACGACAGCATTGAACATGTATGGCAGGGTGGTCTGTGCTAAGGGGGGGCGGGAAGGTTAGCCGGGGGGCCACCCCATGGTGCGTCCACCCAGGATGTGGATGTGGATGTGGTAGACCGACTGGCCTCCATCCGGCCCGTCATTGACGACGATCCTGTAGCCTTTGGACAGACCGGCGTCCTGAGCACACTTCTTTGCGACTATCATCATGTGGCCCAACAACTACAGAGACACAGTGAGGATTAATAAGAAGCTGAACACACACAAAACTCCTGCTTTAAAACAGTACTTAGATAAAGTGGCTGTAAATGGTTCCCTCTGGTGGTGACGGACAGAAAGCTGCTCGACAAATCAATAACACAACCACACTTACTGCGGCATCGCTGTCCTCGGCTTTTGACAGCTGAACAATTGGCTTTTTTGGGACGACTAGGATGTGAGTGGGAGCTTGAGGAGAGATATCAGGGAAGGCTACGCACTGAAATAGAAACAACAAACCAAGCAGAAGAATTAGTCTGAGCAGAAGCATCGTCATAGTATTACGAAACAAATGCAGACAGTGACTTCCACTTAAGTTATTTATTGGCTCGAGATGTTGTACACCTCATTTACTTCACATATACAGAGATAACGGCTACAGCATGATGACCTGAAGACTGCAAACACTTCACATGATGCCTGTTGTCAGTAGAGCTGCAATAATCAATTAATTGATGAGTTTGTCAGCTTGAAAATCTTGGATGTGTCTTTTAAAAACTGGATAAATACACACAAATAACTAAACTAGTCCCTTATTCGATTATTGTCAACTATTTTGAGTAATTGTTAAGACAAAACTACGCTAAATTCTCTAATTCTTGCTTTTTAAATGTGATTATTTTCAGAATTCTTTACTTGTTTATTTCAGTAACCTGAATATCGTTTATGTTGTGAACAAGCAAGACATTTGTGGACTTTATCTTAAAATCTAGGAAACGTTTATCAACATTTTTGCACCATTTTCTGACATTTTGTAGACCAAATAACTCAGCGATAAAGTTATCAGCAGATGAATCAACCATGAACATCATTTTTAGTTGCAGCCCTCATGGTCAGTATGAAATTGCTTCATTAAAAGCTGCTGTTGACTATTACTGACACCACACTGACCAACTGCATCTTTGTGTTGCATTCCAGGTATGATGCCACACTGTGTAATGCACATTTCACTCATTTAATCAAGACAATAGCTGCAGTTAATAGTTGGAAACGTAAAGTAGTTTCTAAATTTAGGCTTGCAGTAGCAGTTTTTTAAGTGTGTGAACGCAATGCAGTAAAGCCTGTTTGACATCTGAAGATGTTAACTGCAGGGTGTGTTTACCAGTTTGCCATCTGATTGCAACAAGCTCATATTTTTATTTGTCTTGGTGCAAAAACACACAAGAGATGAACACAATCTGTGCAGGTTGCATATTAAAAGGATGTGTTAGCTGCAGGCCATGCGGACCTTGTCCCATCCTCCCTGTGGAAATCCAACTGTCTACACGCCAAGTGGCAGCAAATGTGACAGAAGCTACGACTTAAAGATGCAGAACAGAAACTAAACGGTGCACAAGAGCCTGTCAAACTCTATTGGAAGTAGTTTTACTGCTTCTTCTGTCTCCGTGCATTATTTCTGCAGTTTGCATGTTTGCATTGCAGCATAAACTGGTTTCTTCTACTAGACAACCTCCACATAATTTACTTGTTTGAACATTTACGAAACTGTTTCTGCAAAGCTAGCTCCCAGCTAGCATTAGCTAAACGTCTGCCGCAGGGAGCCGCCTGCCCCGTTACCGCTGAGTACTGCGGCTTCTTGCGCCTAAATGTGCTCCTGAGCGTAAATATTGAATACTTACCAGGTCGTCTTCATAGAGAAAGTTGGCAGGGATCTCTTTGCGCACGATTTTGCCAAATATCGTGTCTCCGCCCGGCTTGGCTATCTGCGCTTTTTCCGTTTCATCAGCCATGTTGGCGCAGACGAACCGTGGATCCGTCAGCGCTGCTTTTGGGTTTGGAGAAGCAGCGCTGGACGCTCATTGGCCAGAGAAACGCGTCATTCCAAGGTCTGCGCTGATTGGTCACCGCTGCTTGATACGTCTCCTTACGTCGGAAGTGAAGCACAAGAAGTCAAGATGGGGACTCGTTTGAAGGTGAGGATTTGATCTGATCCTGATTTTTCTTATTAATATTATTAAAACAGTGATTCTTTTACGCTGTTTTACCCGATTTCCCCCTAGTTTAGAGGGTTTGCTTGTTGTATAAAGTGGAAAGAGAAAACTGGAAGATATTGCTAATATCGTAAACAGCTGCTTCAGTTCAGGTGCTGAAGTTACTGATCGCTGACTGTTTGTGTACATGCAGGTTCTAAGCACGTTTAAATCACTACACAGAACAAGGATGGCTGTGTTCAGAGATGATGACAGAGCACTGGCAGGTGAGTTATGTGGCTGGTTTGATGCTAAGATCTGGGACTATATCTTGCTTTGAAGGACGATGTTTACCATCCATGCTCTGCAGTCATCACATGCAACTTTTCTTCCACTTAGCTGCAAGATTAAAGATCAACGAGGAGTTCAAGAAAAACAAACATGAAACGTCAGAAGAAAATATTGAGAAGGTACAGTGTCCATTTCTCATCTGCACTGTTGATGCCATTTAATGCAAGCATAATCAATTAGACTGTAAATATTGTATCTCTGTTTTATCTCTATTTGGATAGACAGTTTGCTTAACAACAACAACAACAACAACAAATCTTTTGGTGTATTTTGTGTAAAATCTGTAAAAGAGAAATGCCCATTTAGATCTGTTATGTCAGCTTTGAAAAACCTCTTCAGTGTGATCAAATACTGTAGTTCAGCCACTTTTCAACCAACAGCAACATTGCAGAGTCATGTTAACATGCAAAATGTCAGGTGACCTGATAGCCAAGTGGTTAGATGGTACAGTGCACACCACACAGGCTACAATGCCCCCAGCAACTGAACTCCTAGCCAGTTGGACCTTTGCTGCACGTTATGTCCTTGTTCTTATCTAAATAAAAGCAAAATGACACAAATACAAAGAAATTGCTTTTGGACTAATGCTACATTTGAATAAGGATATTTAATATGTTTGTGCCCAGTTGTGTGTTTGTATCTCCAGTACATCCTGAAGCACTCATCACCTTCTCCTTTTACAGATGATCAAAATGGGTTCAGACGTGGAAATTGTTCTTCGAAACGCTGTCATGCAAATGGAACACGTCGGAGAAAAGAGGCTCTGTAAGATAACATTTTCCTCTCATGTCTTCTGCTAAATATTCTAGAAAGTGACATGTGCATACAGCAATGTCTCAGCAATCATAATTTCTCTTTGACACATTCTAATGACTTTTAAAACCACGTGTAAATTTTGTCTTTTTCTTTCTCGCAGTGCTTCGCCCCAGAGAAGACCTTCTACTAGACAACGTACCCTACTGTGACCAACCCCGGACAAAGTCATGACACACCATCTGATTACATCTTGTGCATCAGGAGACTCACTATCATCCATTCATATTCAAATGAGATTTAAATGATTTGTCAAAACAGCATTTCAGATTGTTCAGGATCACCTGAGGCTCCCACATGTTTCCATGTCTTGCCTCTGAGCTTGAGGCTGCTATGTTCATCTGTTTGAGGTACTGCAGTACTCTGGGAGGGGCTGGGGGATGACAGCAACCTCTGTTCCTCCACCGCCAGCTTCTTCCTGTAAGCACTGATCTCCATGTCCAGAGCTAACTTGACGTCTAGCAGGTTCTCATAGTCTTCCAGTTGACTGTACATTTGGCTCATCTTCAGCCATTACTGCTCCTTCTGACTGAGTTTCTGTTGCCAAACCTCCTGCTCCCTGTCTAGAGTTCTCTCCAGCTCCTGAAAGAGTAAATACCTGCTTTTGTTTCAGTGAAGATCTTTTATTGTTTATTCAGATTCAAGTAGTCTGTACTCTGGATGCAACAAGTTAATGCATTGTATTTTATCAAATGGAATTGTAAATGTTTTCTGTTTTCTGCAGCTTATGATTCAGTCAAACTAGGGGAAACATTATTTTGCCATTACTGGGGAAGAAAAAAAAGGTGTTCTGAGGTGTGTTCTCAGAGCGTCCCACATTTCATTTGAAATCACCAAAAACAATGCTTGATACAACCAACATAATGCTGAATAATTTTCCTCTTTAAGATCTAACAATATGGATGAATGCATATGCAGTCAAAAATATTTATCACATTTTACTGGACTGATTGTTTGTATTTGCCACTGAATGTGAAATGTGTCAGTAATAAAGTTGTGACTCTTTAATCGAGGTTTTCAGGACAATATGGTATATTATAAAAACAAGATATGTATCTTCAGACACGTGCAACAGATAATGACTACAGTGTAGTGACATGGACATTTATATTTCTCTTATTTTTTCCTCTTGTCTATATCAATGCATTTCCTGAATTTTGGATAAAGGAATAATTAAATGAGAAAATAAGGTTGGTGCGGCTACTAAATGATTATTTTGTGACCATTAAAGACAAACACGACATGTTCTTTAAATACAAAAATATTCAACTAACTTGATATTGTCATTAAGCGTCGATGAAACGGTGCTATAATTGTTTAACTTTCCGCGATACTATAAAAGTGTCTTTATTTTGGAGTTACCAGTGCAGGCGTCAAGAACCACATTTCCCACAATGCCCACGAAGAAGTTCTAAACGATGACGACATCAAAATGCGCCGTTACTCTGGCAACGTTTGTAGCGGTTTACTCTCCCTTTAGCTCGTTTATCAACTTCGTAGACAACTAAATGTGATGCCAAAATTAAGGTAAGAATCGGTTCTCCTGCAATTTTCACGTCTGTTTGACATTATCACAGAAATATAACCATGTTTTATTCGAACGACCCGTCGCTTTTGTTTTGCATTGGTCAGCTCGGACACACTATGGGAGCTGGCCGCGGCGGAGGTCCACAGTCGGGAGAGCGGAGGCGGAGAGGAGGACGGAGGGGAGACGGTCAGCGAGAGGAGCGTGTTCCTGATGGGGAGCAAGGCTGGGGTGTGTTTACCGGGGTGCCACACCGAAAGCAGTACATTCATTGCTATTCTTATCAAGTTGTAGTTCGCTACACACGCTATAGTGAGTTAGCTCATGTCTGCTTCTTTTTCAGGGTAAAACGTCCATTCTGCTCAGATGCCTCGACAGGTGTGTGTTTTAAGGCAACTCTCATCTTTTGTCATGATAAAACCAACTAGGCTCTTAACCAGCTTCATATTTTGTGTGCAGACTAATGAAAAACATATACCAACAATGTAATTTAACTTTCCAGATGTTAACAATAACAGCTTTGAGCATAGAAAGTCCACTTTATAGCTCACAAAGCTTTTGTACCACATCTCACTGTCTGTATTCTTCAGAGGACAGAGATGATGGCATGCCACCTTAGCCACTTCCATTTGCTAGAAAAGATGAAACTGAAAGCACAGGAAGCTAGTAACAGGATATTCTGGTGAGACTGTGTTGTTACAGGACAGTAATACAGTTTTTAACTCCACCAGGGATGAACCGTCCAAGCCCACTCTGGC